GGCCACTGGTCCATATTTCCAGTCCATAATATCTTTACATTTGTATTTAGTTAGGTTAAAAACTACTATGTAGGTGTGTAATGAAACAGATGATAGGAAAATATTTAACCCAGCACCTGTTCAGTCAGAAAACTGTTAATTTACCACATGATAAAACACCATTTCTCAGGATGTAGGTCTTGCGCTTCTAAAGAGCTGATAAAATGGGGTGGAAACAATTTTTCCTGAAGCATCATTCAAGAATGTGATGTTTATAGTAATTTAAAGTTATATAATTTTAAGGGTTACTTCAAGGAGATTCTGCTGATGACCTAATCGAAACATTTATAAAATGATGTGTACAAGTCAGCTCCCAGAGCTCCACAAACTGCATTTGCTTGTTTGTGCTAATTTAATTAATTAGTGTGGGAATATGCAACACTGAAGCACACTGAATCTTAACAGTCCTGATGTAATAAAATATCATCATCTCTATAATGCACATTCCTAAGTGACAGTGTGTCATCAAATCACCGCACAGCACACATTGAACAGAGGGTTGGAGGAATGGTGGGCTGAGGAGTGGGCACTCACTACAAACTGTTGTATAAATAATATTAGCATTTGTTTTCTTTCACATTTATTCAATAATTAACAATGAATTGAAACAATATAGATTTTGTGTTGTTTTTTGGTGTTTAGAACACATAATGTCCACATGCTTAACGTTGGAGTACATTCATGACTCTCCTCTATGACTGTTTTGCAGGTGGAGCTGTCATCCATCCTGTCCCAGGCTGAGGTCACTCTGTCCAGTTTGGTGCAGAGAGGTCAGGAGCTGGCGGCGAGGTTGCGGGTGCTGCAGGTTGACCGCAGAGAGATCGCCTGCCTGAAATTCCTCCTCCTGTTCAACCCCAGTGAGTCACTCTCATGTTTGTAATGTATCACTGTAATGCAATGAAGAGGGACGCTGTCATCCTATATCTATCTTATTGCAAGGTGATATCAGGTTTGTCAGGCTAAAAACATTCAAATAGGCTAAACATTTTCCAATATTTATTGAGACTGATTCATCCTTGACTGAAAACAAAATGTGTTTTGAAAGGCCTGAGCTTATACAAGTGTAACCTGTAGAAGAATAGCAAGTTTTGATGCAAAAATCAATCATGTTTGTGGCGCTGAAATATTGATGCTGTCTTTTGGCACGATTTGAATAGCAACAGTGACATTTTAATGAAAAACTGTCACCACTGTGGCTTATCTGCAGTACCTATTTATCTATAAGGTTACAAGTATTTTCCAAACTGGCCTTTCTCCCTACAATAAATTCACTTAATTAAATTTCTAGGGTTGACAAAAGCCAATATTAACAAAGACATCCTCCTCCATTGTCCACTAATGGCATTCAAAAGAAGCGTAATGGATGGCTCTATCATTCGATGGTCGGACCAACATTCATGTAGCGGCTTGTGCAGATGGAGAGAGCATAGATGTGGCTTGCCTAGATTCCCAGAAGTGTTTGCTGTTTAGCGCTGGCAAAGCGGGGAACAAAGAGCTTTTGAATGGTGAGAGCACTTGTCATAGGCAGAAAATATTTGCTGTCTTTGCCGGCAGCTTCTTTGCTCGCGCTCTCGCTCTCGCTCTCGCTCTTCCTCATCTTCAGAGTCAGGTTTGTTGGGGGTAATTTAATTGCCCTTAAGCAGTTTGAAAAGATGATTCAGAACATTGATTCAAAACATTTAATTACTGTCTGAAAGGACTCTCCAGGATGGGCTCAGCTGATGCTGAATGCCAGTCCATCCAAGGGCTTGGCTATTGTCTCATACGTACACAGAAACACGAACACTCACACACGCAGCCACCCACACTGTATCTACACTCGATACTACACAAAGTTAAAGTATAGATACAGCATATATATATATATATATATATATATATATATATAACCCAGTAGCTAACATAAGTGAGTGGTTTTAATTGAATTGATTTGTTTCTTTTCTCTGTTATTCTGAAATAGCCTTTCAGATATGCTTATTTATACTGTATATATAGTATGAAAAATACTAACACACTGGTACAAATGAAAGGAATTTCTCTGAATCAAAATGGCATACTCAATACTGGCACGAACTAGTTGTCATCCAAATAAGCAAGCAAACAAATGCATAAAACAAAAGAGGAATCATCTCGAACGTGAACCTGAGGTTCATTAAATTGTGTAGAAATCTCTATTCCCTGATTACATGTGGTTGAAAGTTCCAGAACATATTATAGTAAGTAAACCTCAAGATGAGATTATTTCATCAAAGGACTATTTCCAAAGTTCAGGACAAACCTTTTCACGAATTAACGGAATCAGTGTAAACTGTAAAACTCTTTATATATTTCAACAAAATCACATATTTAAAAGGCTTGAATTTGTGTTCTTTAAATGTGCCAAACTCTAAATTCAAGTAAAATTTGAATTCCAAATATGTATTACAGAAGGTTACTGGAAAAGCACAATAAACTCAGATGGATCTTCTTGTCCTGCTTTATATTTTATATCATGTAGCTTTAAAGCCCATTAAAATGCACAATACATGCATAACACTATTTATCTCCCCTTAATTACCTTTAAATTCTGCAAAATGATCTTATTTCAAACAATCAATCAATGTATCTTCTATTCATTATAGTTCTATATTGTTTACTATCAGGGATTGTATGGCTGCCTGAAGAAATCTAATAAATATATTAAAGATATTTTATGTATCATTGTGTGTGTGTGTGCAGATGTGAAGCTGCTGGAGAACCAAGCATTTGTGGAGGGCGTTCAGGAGCAGGTGAATGCAGCTCTGCTGGAGTACACTCTGTCCACCTACCCTCAGTTCCAGGAGAAGTTCAGCCAGCTGGTGATGCGGCTGCCAGAGCTGCGCTCCCTCAGCACGCAGGCCGAGGACTACCTGTGCTACATGCATCTGAGTGGAGAGGTGCCCTGCAACAACCTGCTCATTGAGATGCTGCATGCCAAACGAGCGTGAGTGTGAGGGATGTGCGCAGAAGGCTCCACCGTCGTGTGTTGTTTGTGTAAGTGAGTCTGAGTGTGTAAGGGAGCGTGTGAGTGAGGTGAAAAAAAATCTAAAGAAGATACACAGGTTCATACTGGGTCATCTTTGTGAGGGTTTTTGATTGAGTTGAGTTGAGTCGGGGAGGAGAAAATGTTCTTTTGAGTTTGGAATTATAAAGTTCCATCTGTACTCAATGCAGTTGGGCTATTTTAAATGTTAATGTTTTTATATCCTTGAGCGCTTCATTAACGTGACCTTTGTAAACTGGATTTTCTTCCCTGTTTTCAAAAAACGTAAAAATAGCCTGTAGAGTTACATTCAATTCTCTTTGACCAAATATTGAGCATTCCAATGGCACCAACACGATTCCCTATGTCCCACAGCTGCCCAGCAAACATTTAAACTCAGAGGAAGAGGGCGCAGCATGCACCAGAGCTGAACAGCCGTCAAATCATGGTGTCTGTCCACAGCTGCTACCTGGATCATATAGTGACATCCTCATCTAGAAAATTAAACCAGTTTCCAGTGCTACAGGTTTTTATTGTGTGATTGGGTGCTGGGTGAGCTGCTGGTTATCTGTCGCGAAACAAGATGGGACTATTTGTATGAAAACATCCGATGGTTGCTGGGGGAGCTAACGTGCACTTTGTAAGGCAGATTTTGTAGCCTTTTTTCAGCAATCTGATTTCAGGGTTAAATCAATCTCTTTTGATCCAAACGTCAGATGCAACTTTATGATTCCAAGATCAGCAATGTTGTTCCCAGATTATTATTATTAGATAATTATTTAGATGCAGACAGACTTTAAGGTAGTTTTAAACACTGTGGTCTTGTCAGACTAGATTAGAACTGCTCTTATCTCTGCACTTGTTCTTTTAGTCACCAACCTTACAAAAAAATAAAAGTAATGGTGTTCAGTATAGTTTTACTTTAATCTATTTAGATGTTAATACATTGGTATATCAAAGTTTAATTATTCATGAAACTCTGAAACAAAGAGGGAGAGGGACACAGGCAGAGAAAGGAGAAGGTAAATGGAGAAAGTGTACACAGTATACACTGCTTCGTGGGTGAAAAAATAAAGAGCAAGGAGAGGAGGGAGAAAAGACATATCAGTGTGCTAATGGTAAGAGAGAGATGAATGAAAATGACAGCATTTTTATAAAACAGAAAACGGGGGACAGCAAAAGGAAGCATCACTGAGTGTTCAGCACAGACGATGCAGGGAGGGAAATTATGCATTTGGCAACATTTGAGTTCAAGTTTCTTTTCAAAATGTCTTTTATTTAGTCCATATGTCAAGAAACAGGCCCTCAAAAAGAAAGGTTTCGTTTGTGTCACTTTTCAACACACTGACTCACAACTGACTGATCAATGGTGCTGCCACTGGGACAGTTGTAAGAGCACACAATGAAAAAGATCAAATTTTCTGAACATATACTTAATGTAACTAATGTGCTTATATTTCCTTATTGTGATCCAATCTTCCCTGCCCTGTGTTTGACTGTCAGCCAAGTCCACTGGTTCATGCTGAAGACATAAACCATTAGAAACTTGTCACTGGTATATTTTAAAAAGCTCAGTCCGTCCCTGAAACAACTGGACACTGTTGTTTTCATCAAATGTCTCTTGTTGGGCACTATTTGTAATTTCACTTTTCAATGTTGGCATTTATAGTAAATGTTGACAGCAGCAAAACTCGCTGCATGCTAGCAGTGAATGACAGTCATTGTATTCTGGTCTATACAAAGCAAAGGATGCTGGTTAACTTCAGGTTACTAAAACTCTTTGGTCAAGTTTAGGGGAGATCAGGATTATGATTTAATACAAAGACATTAAACATATGTCATCTCTCTCATCTTCTTGACTTTCTCAATATTAAACCCAAGATCTGTCCCTGCAGCTGTGCTGTGAGAGGCCTAAACAGAACCACAAAGGCATTAATCATGTTTGGTTGCCAAAAGCAAATATTGTAGGAAGATAAATAAAATATGCTGACAATGTACTTTGCTGATATATTTAATATGAATATTTTATTTAAAAGATTGTTCCTTCTTATGTTAATTAAACCCATAATTTTGGTGGTATTTCATTCCAAATGTATGTGCTGTTGCAATATAAACTTAACTCGTTCAGTGAATTTGTGTCCATTTCTGCTAGAAAGCGGGGGTTAGTTTAATAGTAGGAACGACACATCCGTCCTGATGACATCATTATTACTTCATGTGGAAGTAGCGTTTGCCAGGAGCAGAACATTTACATCGAAAAGTGCCCGTTTTTTTCGCATTTCTTATTTTTGTGCCACTGATCCAATCTCGTCACCATTTTTTGTTTCTTGTGCATGCAGCCAAGCTATTTGAATCACCACAGAGATGAAAGATGAACACTGTGATCCAGTTTAGGAGACAGTATTTAATACACATCATGTTCTATTTTTAAAAAGTAAAGTGTTCAATCCATAATTCTGTTCTTGTCAGGGTGATCATCATTGGCCACTGAACAGTCACTGACATATTCCTGCATAGTGTATAGACTTTCAACAGAATATCCTATCGGGCACTGTACAGTGTATCTGTAGCAGTCAGTGTTCATCTGTGGCACTTGCTGTGTTGAAAAGAAGCACTGTGTATTTCGTCCCCAGATGTGTTTAACCCTGTTTGAAAGCATGTCTGTCAGCGATGATGACAATGTAACTGATATTCACTGTCAGTGTAACCAGCACCACCTGAGAAACAAAGACACCGTTCACCCAGTGTTTGTAAGATTGTGCAGCTAAACTTTCTCACTGTGGACATTTAAAAACATTCCGTGCTCATCCATCGCCGTGGCACATTTCAAGGTGTCGTAGACAATCACTCCACCTGCCTTAACTTAATGTTTAAGATACGCACACACACACACACACACACACACACACACACCAGGGTTTTCCAGTTGAGAGAGCTGTGTAATCACTCTGTACAGTATATTTATGTTGTGAAGTGAATATCTACTGCAAGATGAAGATACATTTCAACACAAAAAGTTCTCCACTTTATGTCGAGGTCAAAATGCTACTGTGGTGGAACTGATTCTCTTGATATTGCCTTTGTTTTTGCTCTTTTTATTCCTTCCTGTGAGTTCACAGTCCCATCTTTAACTGAAGTGAAGAGAAAGTGACCGAAACATTTTGTTTTCTTTAAATATATTTTATTGTAATAGCATCATAACAATAAAAATCAATGAAGAAAAGCTCCACTTGTGTCGGCTATCATTGCATGACGTTTATCATTTTGTACAAATGATACAGAGCTCATACTGTGACCCCTCGTTATGCTGCCTTTGCTTTTTTCAAATGAACCAAACAAAGCCACCATGTGATGTAAGATGAAGTGCGCTGTCGGTAACACAACAGCGTCTGCATCCTGTCCCACGAGGTCAGTCCCACTACTTATAAACAGTCATCACTCCGGCTGTGAGAGTACCTCTACTTCCAGCATCAAGGTAGAACAACTCCCCCCCATTCTGTGTTCGTATCATTTATAGAGACCAGCGAGGCAGAAAAAAGGTCCAACATTCCTGAATTGAACAGACTGTAGAAAAGGGGCTACTATGTGGCTGTTGTTTAGCCTTGTCTGACTTAGAAAACATTATCATCAAAAATCATTATGTATAATGTGTTTTACATATACACGTAATTCAGCAGCTACACTACAACTCCTAGCAGGCCACACACACACACACACACACACACACACACACCTCTGGGATATCCACAGACTTTCTCAGCGTACAGTGATCTCTGCTGTAGGGATGAGAGAGTAAGATGGCTGCTGCTTTTCATAATAAAGAAAAAGATGACTGTTTCTCATGTCTTTTGAACAACTCTAGGATGTTAATGCAAACATCTGTGTCAAACTCTCACTATCTGGTTGTGTTTTACAGCCCAATGCCTGTTGAGGTGTAAGGATACAATCTAATACTATATTATATCTACTATTTACAGGACAGTAAGTACAGTACACTTTACAGCGAGACAAAAAAAAAAGTTATAGGACTATACTATAGGAGAATATTTTGGGCCACAGGTTTGAAAGCAAAGAATTGGGCCCAGTGTTGAGTCATACAAGTTGATGAGGTACATTTAAGTGGACCTGTGGGTACAGGTGAGCCAGTGATATTCTAAATAACATTTAGTGAATAATAGTGAAAAATACACTATGTAGTCAAGCAAATACAGTGGTTTAGTTTTATTTAGTTACGTTTTCAGGTAGCTGTGCCTCCACCACAGTAGAAGTGAACAACAACAGCATTATGTCTGTTACATTATTATGAAAAACTACTGTCTACAGTTTTAATTACTATATTATATCTACTGTACAATATCCTATAAAGTCTGTTCACAAACACTGTCTGTCAATGTCTGTGGAGAATAAAATAGTATTCTCAAACCTGACTTTGGATTTGTTTGCTGCATCACTGCAGACTTTCCTCAGTGATTTTTTTTTTTTACAAAACAGGGTCAGATAAATAAGTGATCAGATCTGAATATTGATCTGACCTCTGAGCAGTGAGGTGTATCTCTGCTTCATGCTGGTTCTCGCTCACACTCATCAGTGTGGCTGTGCTCTTCATCAGGTGGTGTCTGTGGATGTGTGGGTCCACTTTCAGTTCAACAGCCTGCAGTGAAATAAAGTGAAAGGCATTAGCTACGACTCTGGGCTTAATCTGATGTGTAATGTTTTTGCATTACAGGGGTGTGAGTGTGTGAGTGCACAAAGAAGAAAACAAGCGGGGAGGGAAATGAAAGGCAAAGTGAGAGAGAGCAGGTGTTGGAGTGGTTAATGGCTGATAGCATGAATAGCCGGCACTGTCTGTTCCTGATTAAGGGAATGAACTTCCCCTTTGTCTCGACGGTCAACAATGATCACCCAGCAGCACTCTAAACACCATCCATCAGGCGTTCCTCGCAGACGGCGAAACATTTAATGAATCTGTTACGAACTTCCCTCTCACTACCGCCAGGCAATTTAGAGCCAATGACAGTGACTTAACCCTATGGAAACATGGGGACCATCTGTTGTGCACGCCTGCCCATTCAAATCAACAAAAGACACGGGGGCAGTTTTTCACACAGGCCTAATGTTGCACTCTGTGCAGGTAAATCTAAGAAAATAACGTTGCTTTTGCTCTTTCTCCTCAGGTCAGCTAATTGTATCATTTATTGGTGGCTGTGCTCTAACGCATTTATTTCTCACACACACTTTGCAGCAAGCTCTTATTGTTTAAACTAAAGCCATCAATAGATGTTTTCTACAAACCCTTAAAACCTTTAAGAATGATTTCCATGACAGAAAAAATTACAAAAATAATTTTCTCACACCATCTGAGTAAACGTGTACTACTAATAATAGCCATAGCATAAACTGACAGAAATATATATCTGAGGCAGTTCAGTTATATAATTCTTTTATGAGCCAAAGAGAAAGCAGGTAAAGGTACGCAGGCCACAGGTGGTTGCTGGGCTGTGAATCACGCAGGCTGTCACGTGTAGGTGATGTCACAAGTCTTGAGCCTGTGATTATAACCCTCCTCAGTATACTCTTTCATGGAGTGTTTTTTGTTTCGCTGTCAAAATATACAACACAGTACAAAAGCAGTAGAAGTATCTGGCTGTTGGTGCATTTTGCTGTTACTGTATATCACAAATGATTGTCTGCTGTGTTGTGAAACTGTGACAAACACTTTCCCTGCAGGGATCAATAAAGATTTTCTGATTCACATACACTATAAAGTTTCTGAACATTTTTGGTGCTTTGTAGTCCTTTGTATTTTATTTTTAAAAAATATATTTAAAGTATTCAATGTATAAAATATTCTAGTAAAATAGTATGGTATTGTTTCAAATATTGCAAACTCCAGTAGGAAGAGATGTAAGCGTTGTACCTGATGGTTTGAATGCAGTCAGCTGGACCACCTGTTAGAGTCAAAAAGACATATCCAACAATCAGTCATGTTCATTCACTGTGATATAATAAGACATTGTGCACTATAGGTGTGACCTACCTGGTTTCCTGATGCTGGTTTTAGAGAGAAACTCACAAAGCTGTTAGTTCTGAAACTCTCTGAAAGACAAAAACAGAAAGTATTTTTATTTAGAGTTTACATTTCTCTTCCAGAATCAATTAATTTGTTTATGCAAGGCCACAACATGAAGGAAATATAATGTACAAAAGAAGAACTATTTGAGTTCTTAGAAGTTAATACCATCTTTTAGTTTGGATATTTCTTGTATTAATACTTCTCTTTAAATAGATAGATAGATAGATGACTTTATTAATCCCCCATGGGAGAAATTAAGTTGTCATAGAAGCAGGTACACTAATGACATAATAAAAACACAAGAAAACATATTAAAAGAAAAAATACCATACTACGATATGATATAACGCACCATGATATAAAAACAGGACAGGTGAATTTAGAAGTATATATATAATATATACTTGGCTGTGCAAGATATTAATACAGATACACAGTGATTATAAGCAGGATGAAGTTATGTAATACCATTTGGTTCTGTGGCCACAGGTCTGACAGAGACAGATGAATTCAAGAGTCTAATGGCACCAGGCAGGAACGACCTCCTGCATCGTTCCTTATTACAGCGGGGGTGAATGAGCCGGTTGCTGAAGCTGCTCTTTAGATTGCCCTGTGTCTTATGGAGGGGGTGGGAAGCATTGTCCATGATGACAGCAGTTTTGCCAGCATTCTGTCCTTGTCCCCTTTATGATCAATTAATGTCATATAATCATCAGTCTTGTGTTTGTAGGACAGATTTCTACTAATGGGATAAACCAAGAGAAGATATCATCACCAGCAGTCGGCTTTCTGCCCCACTTAACATTCACTTATTTCAGTCACAAAGAACAGTGAAAGTGCTGGAGAGTTTGTTTCACAGCTGTGGTGCACACGATGGGAGGTGATGATAACTGACAGTCAATGACGCTCTGTGACCTGTATATTCTAAAGTTTCTGTGGATTTTGTTTAATTAAATGTTTTTTGACCTTTCAGTTGATGCACCACTCCCATCACATTCTGACGATGAGTATTATCTTTTGCCTCCACCTTTGAATCTGACCACTTTTTCATTTCAGAAACTGTTCTCTCTGTCACTCAGTGCATCAACTGCATCAGCAACATGTTACCGCTCAGTGAATTCTCTTTTAAGAATGACATCACTGCTGTGGCCACCAAAGAATGTCTTTCTTCCCCTCCACCTCAATAACACGCTCCTCGATATCGGTGTTGGAAAGTTGCTCCTCTTCTTGATGCCATGATGTGGCTTCAATGAGGATGCTGCTACTTGAATCACCTCACCTGCATCATCATTTGAATGTAATAACTAGTTAAATCAAATTATTTCAGTCAGGAACACTTGTCATGATTTACCAATTTGCAAATGGGGATACAGTTATGATTGGCGCTGGAGGCTCCATTCTTTGGATGTTCCCTGGATTAGCCGAGCAGCGTGCTAAGATAAAACAGGGAACATTTGCAGAACCCCCTGATGGGTGTAGCAGGCAATGTACGTTTGTTTGGGATAAATATCGTTTACCACGACCGTGTTTGGACTCAGTGCTAAAAGGTGGAGGCTGGGGTGGTGGAGGCAAGTGGCCTGCAGCAGGCGTGGGTGGCAGTGTAGCTGAGCAGGGATCAGTGAGGATGAGGTCGTATTTAAAAAGGACCACTTTGCTGAGAGAATGGGCCGTGATTGGTGGGTATATAGCCCATTTTAACAAATCACAATTTGCCTCATAGAGCTTAACAAAAGCAACATCTTCTGCCCTTAACCCTCAGCAAGAGTATGGAAAAATTACTCAAAAAAACCCAACCTTTTAGAAGAGTAAAAAAGTCATAGAAAGCTCAGAGAGAAACCATAAGAAACTTCAGAGAGAGACACATGTGAGGGATCATATAAGAGCACATCAAGCAAATAACAATATTTACAACATTCATGAGCAAAGACATAAATGAGAGTTCTATCAATGCTTAAATTATTTAAGAAAATGTCCAACAGAGATGAAGGGAGCAATAATGACAATTGTAATGATAGAGGTATTGCCTATGATGGTTGTATCAATCATGATCGACAATCAGCTGCCACCATGATCCAAACTCCATAATCACAATCACTAATTTTAGTCTGGTTTGTGTCAGTGGCTAGTTTTCATCATAGATGTCTTCAGTGCATTGTAAGGGGCCAGCCGTCACAATCTTTGTGCACAGTTACCATGGTTACAGGTGTCTCTCTGCTCTACTGTAGTACACCCTGACGAACCTCAGAAATCCAGTTACCACTTCCAAACTATGTTTGAGCAGAACCACTCCCTATAAGTAAGCACAATAAGCCCAGTGCTCACAGTAAGTGCTGGGAATGTTAGGGTTTTTGAGGTACTAGAGGAGATCATCTCAGAAAAGGTGAGTCTTCAAGAGGTTTTTCATATGTCTAAGATAAACATTTATGATTATGCCGATGATACACAATTCATTTATCAATGAATCCAGATGAAACTGACCAGTTAGCTAAACTAATATCAGTTAACCAATGTAGCCTATGACAATGAGTTGCCAGCCACTAGGCAATCTTCAAGATCATACAAGGACAAACAGCTTACCCCCAGTTGATGCTATTTTGAATTATTTTGTGTGTGTAAGTCAAAGATGACTTCACACAATACTAATATAATAATAATAATAATAATAATTCCAGACCAAGTGTCTGTGATGAGTTGGGAGTGATACAGTGTTGGTAATGCAACCTACCGTTCTTGATAACCAATGATGTGGACGTGGAACTGGGGGGTCCAGAGGTCTCACTGGTCTCAGGGCTGGAGGGGGTTGGTTGACTGTGGCACCAGGAGGTAATTGGGGCCCTTTGGGAAGGCAGGAAGCTGGTTGGCTGGGAACAGTTCTGAAAATACATCACAACCAAATCAGAAGTGCCACAACGGTACGGCATGTTATAATGAAGTATAGTTTGCATACTAGTCCATCAAACTACTTACATCCTTAAAAACTACACACAAAAAAGCAAAATCTGAGTTTGGGTGAAGTAAATATGTGCTCTGTACTGATGGACCAGATCACTGCTGTGTGCCTCTTACTCACTCACCGTGAAAGATAAGGCCTTTCTCTTTTCTTTGATCCTCTTTATGGCATTCCTCACCTAAATGAGAAGCAATTTTTACACCCACTGGTTTGACCAAAAGGCTGGAAGCCTCACATATCATATAAAGATACATTCTGATATTCTGCCGCAGCGGCGATAGCCAGTGGCACCGACAATGGACTGAATGCCTTCTTACCTCACTGTTGTAAACAGCATACACTAAGAAGATGTACAGTCCCTGCATAGGAGAGAGACACATATTAGAAAGCACATGTAAAAGATGTGGAGAAATGGAAGAGAATAAACTCCATTCACACAGTACAGCTTTTATTGATATTATTAATCTTTATATTGTCCATTTAGTGCTGCACTCTGTCATCATATTCTAACGATGTTTTCCTCTTGACTATCAAAAGAGAAGCACATATTTTAAAATAACTCTTCAGGCACTCTATCTGTGTGTATCTACTCCCTTTTGGCACAAACTTCAGTTACATTCAGCAGGGTGTGGCACTTAGATCTCAACTGAACTGAATCCAAACTGGACTGGGGAAAATCTGTTTCAGAAATGTAATTTGGACAAAAAGAGTTTTCTCTAACATTACAGCTTGTAGACCTCCCATAGTGATGCATTGAGGAAGTTGAGGGCACGATAAAAATGGGATATCTGCACCCAACCACCAGTGCTCTCCTGCAGTAGTACCAGCTCAATTAAAGGTCCAGTGTGTTTGTAGAATAATCCTCATGATGTTTTCACTAGTTCGTTTCATCCAAATTGTATAAATTATATTTAAATACTTTATATTTACATCGAGGGGACCATCTCTACGGAGGCCGCCATGTTTTTTACATTAGTCCAGACTGGACAAACTAAACACCTTTTGAGTTTTTATGACAACTGAAGCTACCACAGGTTCTTTTTTTCATGTTTGGAAGGAGAGGGTGAGGTGAAGGTTGTTCAGTAATTTCAACACTAGATATCACAAAATTCTACACATTGTACCTGAAAGTATAAAGTTTGTAGTTTGCCACAATGGAAGGCATCCTGTCATCTCTTGTTTTGTCTTTGGGGCAGTGAAAGTGGCATACAAAATTATACAAGAAGAAGAAGAAATACACAGAAGTAACAAAAGCTACTCACAATAGCACGACACAAATGTATGCTTGTCAAACAAAAGCAAATCATCAAGACCGTGAAATAGACTATTAAGGTGAGTCAGTGAGAGCTAGCAGATCTAGTGAGTTTGTTTTCAAGCTACTGCCTTTCACATCATCAGGTAGGCTCATACACAGAAAGATGATGGTCCAAATACAGTGCAAAGAAATGATATGGTCCAATCTCATACAAAGGAAATTCCCACACTTAATCAGGATTGCTTAAGAGAATCTTGATTTATAATGTACCCACTTGAAACATTTCATATAGGTTTTGGTTAATATTTGCCTCGAGAGCATTCCAACCGACTTTCAACCCCTGGGTTTTGAGATTCACTTTTTTGGTATTTGTGGTGCCCACTATGGTTTGGGCTGAAGGTTTTTGGTAGGTTCATTCCCAAACATAGGCCAAAGATATCTAACAAGATATCTCAGTCCCTACTAATTTTGGTCAAAAGCCCAGAAGTTATATTCATTTTGCTCTTTGCATCAGGTTTCATCTCTGATCCCATGATGTGACCTTCCCTTTTGACAGTCAATAGTGCAGGTCCTGACCCTACCCCCTACTAATTTTCCAAGTTTAATTCACAGTAGATCGCTCACTTTCTTTCTCTCAATCTATCATGTACACTCACAGACACATAAAGTCATCGGACATGTCACTGGGTAAAAAAGTATTTTGTTGTCCTGAAGACAAATTGAGAATAACGTTAGATCAGACAGGCCAAAAAGTCAAGCTCAGCTCACCTGACAGCTATAGCAGCTGATTTCAAAGCTGGTGGCTCAGTACGTTCTCTTCCTCTCGTTCATTGGCAAAGCTCAAAGAAAGTGCAGCTCAGTAGCACCTGCAGATAGTCTGCAGGTGATGCATTCAAGGGACTTTAGGAAGCTACGTCTCTACAGATAGCTTCAGGTCAGATCATCTGTAACTGGGTATATCAATGCCTATTGCAAAGGTAGTCACACATTACTAGTTGGCAGCTAAAGCAGCTTTAATAAAACATGCAATATGAACTTTTCCAATTAAATGCAAGGGGATCAGCTGAGCAATCAGCTGTTGTGAGCTGGTATAGAGATCTGCTGCTGTCAGCAAGTATTGTGGATGAGCTTAACTTTGTGACATACCTGAACTAACACTATGTGCATTATGCTCAATACCAAACAAAAATCACTGACCAAATTATTCTGTGTTGAGACCAGTGGTGGCCGGTCAGCAGAGGATGCGCTGCATGTGTACCTCACCAGCCACACAGTTTAATTCAGATCATCAAGCTCCCAGACCTATTTATCAATATTATTTAAAATTAGTAAATTGGTGAATTTCTCATTTTTTTGTCATTTGAATATCCTAAAAATGATCTTCAGTTTCCTTGTCCTATCTATTACTCAAACTTATGGAGATGAAAAAAAATCAATAGGATTGTCTGTCTAGTCAATGCTAAACCGGCTTGTATTTATCACACTGTCAATAACACTGGCTTGACAGTAGCTTGTCTTCCCTCCAGTCTCTTCTACTCCTTAAAGAATTACATTTTAATCAATATTCTTGTTGAAGCCATGAGGGGGGTTAATGCATTAGTTGGAGCTCTGACTTTATGCACTATTGCATTTCTGTCTTGTTGCACAATCACAAATACAGTAGGTCCTTTGTAATCTCACACATGCACATATGCATATTACTGGGTACTACAGACATGTGAAAGACTGGAGATTGAGTGGTTTGGTGACAGATAAAATCACATGCTGAGACCACCACACTTTAGCTAAAGGTTAAGTAAAACCTTTAAACCAAAACCCCTGATGGATGTTCTGTCTGTGAGAGACGTGCTGTCTCTAATAAATTTTCCCCACTCAGCGACACACCCACTGAGGAACAAACTCTGGTTATTGGCGACTCTATTCTGAGAAACGTGAAGTTAGCGACACCAGCGTCCACAGTTAAATGTTTTCCTGGGGCCAGAGCGGGCGACATCGAGTCCCATTTAAAACTGCTGGCTAAGGGTAAGCGTAAGTACAGTAAGATTATTATTCATGTCTGGACCCCTGCCTAATGTTTCCAGTGATGACATGTACAGCCGCACGTCATCCTTTCACCGCTGGCTGTCGAGGTGGTGTCCAAATAACAACGTGGGCTTCGTAGATAATTGGCGAACTTTTTGGGGGAAACCTGGTCTGATTAGGAGAGATTGTATTCATCCCACTTGGGATGGGGCAGCTCTCATATCTAGAAACATGACAACGTTTGTTAGAAAGTCCACACCGTGACAATCCAGAGTTGAGACCAGGAGGCAGAGTCGCAGTCGTACACGCTTCTCTGCGCTTCTATTCAAACAGTTACCCCCACAATATCCCATAGAAACTGTGTCTGCCCCCCGACCACCTAAACTCACTAAATCAAAAGCAAACAGGACAGGAGTAATATATTCAAACCTAATTAAAGTTAACACCGCCAATACACCGGTAGCAAAACACAGAATTATAAAATGCGGTTTATTACATATCAGGTCACTCAATCAAAAATCACTACTTATTAATGACCTGATTACCAATCACCAAATTGATCTATTATGTTTAACAGAAACCTGGCTGCAAGATGGAGAATATGTAGGCTTAAATGAAGCGACGCCCCCAAGCTATATTAATACTCATACTCATTGTAGCATAGGCAGAGGTGGAGGGGTTGCAGCAATCTCTACATCTAACCTATTTGTCAACCCTCGACCAAAAAAAGTTATAACTACTTTGAAAATCTTAGAATCAGCCTCATTCATCCGAGCTTGAAATCACATAAACCAATTAATCTAGTTATCATATATCGTCCACCCGCCCCTTACTCAGAATTTCTATCTGAATTCTCTGAATTTCTATCAGAACTAGTTCTTAGGACAGATAAAATAATTATAGTAGGTGATTTCAACATCCATGTAGATGTTGACAACAACAGCCTTAGTTCAGCTTTCAAATCAATAATAGACCTGATTGGTTTCATTCAACATGTGAATAAACCCACTCACTGTCTGAATCACACTCTTGATCTTGTTCTGACATATGGCATAGACATTGAAAATGTATATCTGATAAAACTGTGAACAAATTTAAAGAACTGCTTCCCTCTACACTTACCTCTCAGCCATGTGTCAGTACAATACAGGAAAGTTATCAAAACTTTACCCCCACATTAGTTGATAACTTAGTTAATAGTACAGCAGCTTCATTAAAAACAATCCTTGACGCTGTCACCCCATTAAAAAAGAAGAAGGTAAATCAGATGAGATCAGCTCCGTGGTATAATTCTCAGACACGTGTTTTAAAACAGATATCGCGGAAACTAGAGAGGAAGTGGGGTTCTACCAATAAACATGACTTTCACCTAGCCTGGAAGGATAGCTTGATATATTACAAGAAAGCACTCAGAAATGCCAGAACCTCTTATTATTCATTATTAATAGAAGAAAATAAGAACAACCCCAGGTTTCTCTTCAGCACTGTAGCCAGGCTGACAGAAAGTCACACCTCTACTGACCCATCTATTCCTCTAACCCTGAGAAGCAATGATTTCATGAGCTTCTTTACAAATAAAATTATAACCATCAGGGATAAAATCCACCACCTCCTTCCAATGAATATCACATACATAGAAACATTGTCTKGTCCTGAAACCATAGAACCAGATTTATGTTTTAACCAATTTTATTCTATTGACCTTCCTGAACTGACCTCCCCCTGATTGACTGTTCCATATTAAATCAGATTAACATGTCTTTGTTAACCGGCTATGTACCACAAGCTTTTAAGGAAGCTGTAATTAAATCTCTGCTGAAAAAGCCTACACTTGATCCAGAGGTTTTAGGTAATTATAGACCCATATCAAACCTGCCCTTCATTTAAAAAATCCTAGAAAAAGCTGTTGCTAACCAGCAGTGTGATTACTTAGATAGTAACGGTTTGCTGGACAAATTCCAGTCAGGTTTTAGAATCCATCATAGCACAGATACAGAACTGTTAAAAGTCACTAATGATCTTTTCATGGCATCAGATGACGGACTTGTCTCTGTACTCGTGTTGTTCTAGTCTCTGAAACCATAGATCACAAGATCCTGTTACAGAGACTGGAACAACATGTAGGGATCAAAGGAACTGCACTAGACTGGTTTAAATCATATTTATCAGATAGATTTCAATTTGTTAACGTCAACAATGACCCCTCCATGCACAGGCAAGTTAGTCATGGAGTTCCACAAGGTTCTGTCCTTGGACCGATACTCTTAGTTCAGGAATGTCTCAAGAACATTAAGGCCTGGATGACCCAAAACCTCTTACTTCTAAATTCAGACAAAACTTAGCTACTTGTAATTGGCCCTAAACATCTCAGAGAATCACTGTCTGAACAGATACATTGGATGGTGTCAGCTTGGCCCCCAACTCCACTGTGAGGAACCTTGGAGTTGTGTTCGACCTAGATGCCTAGAAGATGGAACTAGAAGGAGAGAACATATTACTCCTGTCTTAGCTTCTCTACATTGGCTCCCTGTAAAATTCAGAATATATTTCAAGATCCAGCTCCTCACATTTAAATCCCTTAATAATCAAGCCCCTTCATATATCAAAGAGCTGATAACACCGTATTATCCAAATAGATCACTCCGTTCACAAAACACAGGCTCTCTTGTGGTTCCAAGAGTCAGTAAGATTAGAACTCGAAATTAATAGTCTTTACACTGTTGTTCCATTTTTAACTAGTCAGATCTGATACCTGATGGCGCTCAAGTGTCCCCGGTCTTTCTCTCACCTACTTCCCCCTCTCCACTATCCCTCTCTCTTTTCTTTCCCTTCTTTTCCACCCATCTCTCATCTCCTTCCCCCGTTTTCTTTGCTCACCCCAACCGGTCGAGGCAGATGACCGCCCACATTGAGTCTGGTTCTAGAGGTTTCTCCCTGTTAATGAGGGAGTTTTTCTCTCCACAGTCGCCAAAGTGCTGCTCATTGTGGGAACTGTTGGGTTTCTTTATATTTTGATTTTAAGGTCTTGACCTTCTATGTAAAGAGCCTTGAGATAATGTATATTATGATTTGGCGCTATACAAATAAAACTGAATTGAATTGAATTGAATGTTATTATTCAACCCAGTCTTGTCCTACTAGTCGTTGATCTCTGCTTTCATGACCCATGGGCTCTCAATAATACTTGCTTTTAACATCTGTTGAAGCAGCCAATTAAAAAAAACTTTTTTTTGTTAATAAGAAGAAAACGGGCTGGCCCAGCATCACCCTCATAACTGCATGAGGAACTCCTACTGTAGTGTTATCTGCCCTCAGCTGGACACTGGCAGTAAATCTAAATTAACAAGCAGCTCTCTGGGGGTCACCCAGGGGCTAGTTCATTTTGATTAATTAAAGACTGTGGAAGAGCATGGAGGGGTGGGTGGCGTAGGAACAGAGATGTAGAAAATGGATAAAAGGTATAAGCATAACAGAACCAGTGTATGGAACAAATGGGCAGTAAGTGAAGGGTGTGAGAGAGAGGAAGTGAGTGCTGTGTAGGAGGAATAGAGGAGGTTGATCCGGTATGACTCCCAGCAGGATTCGCAACACACACACACACAAACACACTATCGTTGATCAGTGACATGCATCCAGTGCATTGTTTTCTGTTATGATCCCTAACTAAACACATTAACACATTTAATTTTAAAAACAAATTAAGATGGGAACTGTGGTAATGGGTTATACAGTCTGATTTTTATCAGTTGAGACACATCTCTAAAATAAAACAATTTCTGTCTGCTGTTGACCTGGAAAGTAATTAATTTCATCCCCTCTGGATTACTGGAACAGTCTATGTTCTATAGACTCAGTAAAAAAACACTATATTGTCTGCCATTAGTTGAATAAGCATATATTACCAATGCTTCAAGAATATAATATACAACTGATAAGGCATGACTAAATCACTATGCTGTATGACTGAGGCATACTGCTGACTTGAGTGCAATCTGCATTCACAGGATAATTCTCAGGATAACCATCTTTAAATAGAATAGGAAATGATTGCATAATCAATTAATAGTGAAATGAAATAAAATAAATAAAAGGTTTTGTCACATAAGTTAAAAAACGAGGCTGCACCTGCAGCAGTGCAGGGTGGTTTGAAGAAGCTATGTCATCCTGTATGAGGAGATTGTGGAAGTCAGTATTACAGCTTTAAATGTGTTTTGATTTCATTTGTGTACAATCATTAACATGTGGGATCACAGGATATTCATTTTAACTTTAACTGTATGAATTGCAAACTTTCAGGATAATTGGGCAGCTTTAACTTTGGAGGTAGAGTGGGTCGATCACTAATCAGGTGTCAGTGGTCTGAACCCCAGCTGCTACAATCCATATGTCTAAGTGTCCTTGGTCAAGGCACTGAATCCCAGATTGTATGATTGAATGCATGAGTGATGGAAAAGCTCTATTTGAACAAGGTGTGCAGGCTGTCTTCGTCAGCTGGGCAACAATATATTTTGTGAGTTATGTTTATGAAAACAGCTGACAGATTTTAACAATGAGCTGAAACTCACAATGAGGACATACATGTATTTCCCATTGTCACCTGGTTTTCACCTTGTTATTATCACAAAGATTTTGACCATTTAAAAACCAAACATGCAGGTAACCGCTAAATTTTAACCGTTATCCAAAATATAAACGGTATTGGGTTTGAAACTGAAAAATGTACATTAAGTTCTGAAGATATCACGTCTTTGTTTACCTGGAAGGCATTAAGAGCGATGAAGACATAGGCGATTACAACAGACAGATGGACCAGCACCCCACACAGCCAGGTCAGACCCAGCACAGGCAGCAGGATGAGCACCGGACGTGTCACAGCCCTGCAAACATACACAGAATGCACACACAAAAATCACAAAATTGACATGTAGTATGTGTATGAATTCGACACATGTATTCTAAAATGCATAGAATGTCATCTACCAGGCTACTGGAACAAAACTCCACACTGTTGTGAGAACTGAGAACTACACATGAGTATAGGCAGACAGACAAGGACTCAGCAAAGTGGAGTTTTCAAGGTATTTTGATGACATTTATAGAATATTTCTTCTTTGAATTCACATCAAACACTTCTTCTTCACAGCGATAGATTTTACCGCCTACCACAGTCATACTCCTGTTCCTTTGCAATCATGCTTTCAATGATCCTGGTGCTTATATGGCCAATAACCATTTCATGGGGCAAGGCAGAAAAGGTTGCCTTTGTTCAAATCACTATTGTTGTCACACTGCTGCACCTGGGTAGAGAGATTGAGTTTTCATACTGCACTGTGTCTGTGCAAGGACAAAGCCGGCACTCAAAATAAAAGGGAAGAGAACGCTCTTCCCTTTTATTTTTGAAAGTCGTTTTCCCTCTAATCTCCTGAATTCACATAACACTCTTGAGCTGGCAGAGACATCTACTTTCAGTCTGTTTGTGAGGGAATGAAGAGACATAGAAAGAGGGGGATTGGCGTTGTGGAATTTTCATCACTCTAAGACAAATGTGTGAAAAGAAACTCTGGATGGAAGAGAGCTGCTGCATGTTGGGTTTTTACCCAAATATGAAAAGAGATCGTAGTCTCTCCTCAGCCATAAGATATATTAGTAACATCTATCAATTCTAGTGTACTGACCCGTGTATTAACCTCTGAAAGAGCATAGTACTGACAGAATAATGTCCCTAATACAAGTGGCACATTGACATCTTACGATCCATTTACTTTACAATCCTTACAACATGAGGAACATTTAGATAATGTTATGCTGAACATGTATTGTACAGGTAAATCTGCTAATCACAGTTCAATACATTAAAAGGAAGGTTTACAAAAACTCTAACTTCCCTCATGTGGTATCACATTACAGATTTTATAAAATATCTCTCCCTGAGAATTCTGCCACCCAACCAACTGAAAAGGCTTTCAGTTGTATGCTCACAGGGTTGAAACAATACATGAATAAAATAACATCAGCATCTAAGTGCTCACACTGCTCTGGCTACTCCACAGACCTTTCTGTCAACCATTTTCATTAGGATTATTTATTCCACAGAAACTGCTCACAGTGAGGTCCAAGCCTCTGTGGCTTTACTGGGAATACTGAAACAGGCAGTGGTGGCTGTTTAATACGGCCCCCTCCAACATCCTGAGACAAAAAAAGCCTGTATAAAAATGTTTAATATAATTTAATCAGATAATAATTGTTAATGCTCCCAGTAGACATTAAGCACCGGTGAGCATTCAATACAACTTTTCAAATTGTATTTGGTTAATGTATTTCTGTCTGTGGCAAAGGACATTGGAAGTGAATGGGGCGCCTAAACTTTTGGCAACCACAGGACCTGGGGCCGTCTCAGGTAAACCCACTGTCACTGAGTTACTTCTGCTGCTAAAACATAGTTTTGAAAAATGCAAACAGCATGAAAGTTGCCACAGTCACTTGGACACAATGAGGCTACATTTTTGCAGGAGGCCTAACATTGTTCAGCAGCTCGATGAAGGCTACAGGATTGCCATATTGTGTGTTTTTGTTGAGTCTGGCTTTAGTTTGTTTGCCACCCCCCCAAAAAAATAAAAACAATACATTTTATCACCAGCCGCCACTAAAACCTGGATTACTGGAAATGTTTGTACTATTATACTATTATCCTGCCACCATAGTCAACATAAACAGACCTGACAGAGTGAAACAGTAAAGTAATGTTTGCTACTAAGTTTGTATATATATTTATATATATATATACCGGTATATGCATCACAGGTACAGTAGGTAGAATAGGTTATGAACAGCATATATCATGTGCATATAGGCCAAGTGGAGATACTGTTTAATAAGTATGCTGAGGAAGAGTTTTTTTACTGTATTCATAGATGAAAATGCTGAGTTGTGAATTATCCGGAACAGAAACGGCCCTCACACTTCAGTCTTCAGTGGTCAGTGAGTAGCAGAAATGTTCACGTTAGCAGTTTTTACTTGTTGCTCTCACAGCTAACGTTTTAGACACTGAACACATTGTAAAAGGTCTGAATGACTAAGCACTGGATGGATGGTTGGATCCTCCAACACGATTTCTTTAATTTTATTTTAAAAACTCTTTATGTGGCAGAATTCACTGTGTGGCTGAATGTATCAGTAAAGACAGATCCCATGTATTGCGCACGTACACACACACACACACACACAGATTTGGGACCAGGTGTTAAACTGATAAGCCATGATAACTCCCACAGAAGGCTCCTGAGCCTTAACTCCCATTCTCTCACACTGTCTCTAATGACCATTGTGCAGCCTAGACCAGAAAGCAACTGTGTATTTGTGAGAGTGTATGCGAAAGAGTGTGGGCGCATAAGAGGAAAAGCCTTACGAAAGAGAGTAGGGGAGAGAGAGAGAGAGAGAGAGAGAGAGAAACCGTTGTATCTCACCAGGTGAGGTCAAAGGTCTGCAACTTTGATGCCGAGCTTGGACTGAGCATCTTAGCACGACGATGAGCACTGGAAACAGTCACCATGACAACCCGACACAGCACAACTGCATTGACCTGCAGGCAGAGGACAACAGTATTAACATGGCCTCCAGCAAACACGAGACGTGCCGCTGCAGACCCTCTTGGCCTCCTGCTTACATGCAGAGCAAAGGACGTTCACGCAGGAAATTACATCACAAAAAAAACGTTTCACTCATACACAAGACATTATTTTATTTATTCTTGCTCACTGTTTTCTGATATAAAATAATAATAAAAAAAAGGGTAAATGTAGTTTACACATTTCTTTTAAAACTTGCATTGTTTACATCCATGCTTGGCCAGCAAGCTGTCTTCTCCTCTACCTTTTACTGCTATTTTCCCTGGAATGCTAACATAACCAATTCTGGGTCAGAGAAGTAACATCAATATGAGGGTTAATTCTTATGCAAGTGCTGGTAGGTCTGTTTCTGTTTGTGTGAGATGCAAAAACATAGGGGACCCTGTTAGTAGCGGATAACAGATCTAAAGTAAATCGACAAAGTGATGAATCCAGATGAGTCTCTTGCATTTGTTTGGAGGACGTCTGCCATACACACTCAGCCACAGCCCCATCAGGGTCAAGACAATTGGGACTTTGAGCATTTATGAGTGATCACAAGACATTACTGATGTAGTGTCTAGCTTGTTAAATCACAGTGTTTCCCTATTACACAGGTGGCTGATCCAGCTCTCCTTTAAAGGGTTATAGTAAACAGCCCTAAACAGGCACAGACACAGGCCCCTTTACTTTTATTACTTTTGTTTTATTTACTAATCAGAAGGATGGCGGTTCAATCCCCATCTCCTCCAGTCTACACATGACAGTGTTCTTTCGCAAAATAATCCAAATCAATAATTTATTTTTATTTTTATAGCGCCAAATCACAACATATATTATCTCCAGGCACTTTACATAGGTCAAGTTGTGTCTCATAGTGTAATGCTCTAAGAGAGGTTCTTGAGACAAGAGTCCATATACAACTCACACACACAAACACACACACACAAAGCATTTACATACCGCCAAGACAAATATTACAGGTCCCACAAAGGCCCAGATGGTGTCAGTCTTCACATTGAGCCAGCAGTGATCATCTGCCTTGTACTTGTCCACTGATACTGCCAGTGTTACACCAACTATTAGAACAGGCAGTCCTGAAAAACAATTAAATAAAAGAAAATGACCTGTGGGCATGTTGTGACAACAAAAAAAGAAGCATGTCTCAAGATATTTATGGAACAGTGACTGCTGCAATGTATTGCGCATAATATTTAGTCTGTTCTCTTCTCTTGGTCTATTTAGTCTGAAGGGGAACATTGATCACATCTGCACAGATGGCTGAGGGACACCATATTCACACACTGTCCTCGGCTCAGTTTGTGACACAACACATATGGCTTGATTTGGGAACATGAACAATAGCAGCTGCACACATTTTTTGTTTATATGTCAAACTAGGTTAAGGTTGCAGTATAGCATAACATCTAATCACATGATTACCTTCATATTAAACATGTATACTTACAATAAATATGACATATTGGGAATAATTAGCACAAACAAGCAAGTCACAATCCAGTCACTAAACAACCCCACCACATTTAAGTGCTGTAGTTTTCAGCTCTATACCTATTACCTAATTTCCCTTTGGGGATGAATAAAGTAATCTATCTATCTATCTATACATAGTAATATATGTTTTGATGATTACTAAATAAGTGGAAAAAACCAGAATAAAACATGATTCCCAAATGTTAATTAACATTAAAGGTCCAATGTGTAAGTTTTAGGTGAAAGGAATCTATTGGCAGAAATTAAACACAAAATAATCCTAGCAATGTTTTCTCTAGTGTGTTTCATCTAAATTGTACTAATTGTTGTTTTCTGTACCCTAGAATGGGCCCTTTATATTTACGGCATGAGAGGGTCCTCTCTACGGAGGTCGCCATGTTTTTTTACAGTAGCCTAAACTGGACAAACTAAATCTTTTGAGTTTTAATGACAACTGAAGCTACCACAGGTTCTCTTTCATGTTTGGAAGGAGAGGGTGAGGTGAGGGGTGTTCAGCTGCAACATGCAACTTCAACACAAGAGTCTACACACTGAACCTTTAAAGCAAATTTAGTAGCTGCTTCAAATGAAAGTTACAGTTGAATTGTCAGTTTTTATTGAGATTACCTTGAGATTCTGAGATAAGGATTCTGGTTGAATTAATAATAAGTGATAGATTTTTTTCACTACAGTTAAGAACAGGTGTGATGATGTTATGATGCAGGATGATTATGTGAAGGACCCTCAGATTATGTGAGAGCATCAAGTTTTTTATTTGATGTCACCACCTGTGGTTAACCAGACTGTAGACCAAATTAACTTTACACATAGTAATAACTGGTGCAGGGCCCATTGACAACCCTGCCTGGTTGGACTGGACTGTTTGCTTGTCCTGAGTTAATGTTCTGGAGTTGCTTCAGAATTATTCCTTGTAATTAGTGAGTCCTCCTCAAACACGCCTGTAAAATACTGTTACTCTGTTACTGAGTGTTGGACATTGTATGCAGAGCTTTTTATAAACAGTATATGGTACAGAGTGAAATTCAAAAAACTTTCCACTCACCCCACCTGGTTTGTCTGCAATGAAGCTGTTCTGTTTTTTTTAGACCAATATTATAGCCAATGTTTTTTTTTTTAAAGAAACTGAATTTGCTTCATTTCTGTTTGTGTGTGTGGCTTATAAGTTGGAAATAGTTGCTTAACTTATTTGTTCAGGAAGTGATTCTGTGAATGTTGCCATGATTGAGATCAGCACCCACGACTCCTTTAAATGTCAGTCTGATATGGTGAAATTAAAATAATGAAATTATCAAATTGATTTGGCGGGGCAGATATTATTGGTGGCAGGCCAGTTTTTACCCATGGTAGATGAAATTCTGACCCCTGCTGTAGTTTATCCAGGGACATAGAAGAAGACATGTTGAACTCAGTCGTCTGTTTATTCAAATTCTATAAAAGTTGAACATACAGTATTGCATGTCCAAACGTCACTTCCCTGGACCACTAAGAATACACATGCCAAGTATGAAGCCAATAAAATAAATGGTTCCCATAAGCTTTCTGTGTCCCACATACAGACTGACAGACGTGGAATTAGTTGGTAGATGGCGGATAGATTTGGAAATCAAAAACAATGAAGTCAATAAAAACAAAAGTTAACCAGGTCATAAATTCTTCTGAAATGTGACGAGCCATTGAAAAGAGGTGAGAGTTTACCCCAGCCAATGATGTAGTAGAGCTTCATCCTGCGGTCCTCACTGATGTTGACTGACACGACTTTGCTCCAGAGCAGCAGGCCCTCCACTAGCATCCAGGAGAAGGACGCCATGAAGAAGAGGTGAAGGAGTGCAGTCACCATGAAGCACGCTCCCTTCAGGATACAAAACATACAGTATACACTTTATTAGGAATGGAAAATGGACTGCATTTATATAGTCATTTTTTAGTCATTGATGATCAGTCATTTGATAAATTACTAATATAGAAATAGCGATTTTACATAATACCCAACAAATGATGCGTGTTCTTAAAACATTAGATGTCTAGCATACTTTCACAGTTACCATTCAATATACAGCCATTGTCCAGCTAGTGAACAGTAGTAATGAGAAACTACTTAATGTGACTGAATTGGACTGTGGTCTGGGGACCACTGGAATCCTATTTTACATTATTTTCAATATCATTAAATTATTATTACTCCTCATAATACAGTTTCCCACCTCATTGGCAGACGCCCAGTCACTGCACATTAACAGCAGCTCAGCGATGCCCAGAGAAACTATCAGGTTCTTATGCACAGTGGTACGGTCTGATTTAGGGACACTGAAAAGATAAACACAGACACACACACACACACACACACACACACACACACACACACACACACACACAACATTGGCTTTCCATTGACATTCATTTCCTGGAGACTTACTCGAACCGTAACCATTAACACTGCTTGCCCCTTAATCTTAACTTAACCCGAACCCTTACCCTAAAATAACCCTAAACTTGAAAAATGTTTTGTCCACATAAAGTCTCTGTGTAAACACATTTAAGTCCCCACAGAATGAGTGGTACCAGGACGACACATGCATGTATAATGCATGCAAACACACACAGCTTAAAATATCTGAGTGAGGCTCTCACAGGGGTTTTCAATTTTTTCTTTCAGAAATGCTTCACTGTGGTGCTGTTCACATATCCAGAGAGCACAATGTTCTGTCTTTTTCCATTTATTGATGTGAATCTGGCAGAGTTTTATGAAATGCTTTTCACCCTCTGTGCTTTACAGAGTGCACTCTGTAACGTTTGTGACTCACCCCACAGCGATGAAGAGGATGAAGGTGAAGAGGAGGCCACACAGAGACACTCCACAGCCGATGAACGTCAGCACCTGCAGAGCGTTTTCGTTCTCTGGGCTCCTCTGACACAGACACACAGAGCGTGAGCCATACATAGCAGCACATACTGCAGATGAAAGCCTACACCAAATACACAATGATAATTCAAGAGAGGAATGTTACCTGGGCTTCATAAACCTGCAGCAGCAATGCAAAATTTGTGGTATGGTTGCAATGGCAGACAGTGTAGCCATATTCTTTGGACACTACCTCACAGCCTTTGGTATTCCACCACCCACCAGCCTCCGGACTAGTCAGGCACAGACAGCACATATAAATGTCTACATACAAACAGGAATGCCAAGAATGAAAATATTTTACTATCTAAATGTTTTGCTGCATTTATCACATTTTTAATGAAACAGGTAAGATAACAGCGGTATTACAGCTGGCTGGTACTTACGTGAGATCAAAATCCCAGAATGCACACACTGGATCATACACAGTACCAGTGGGATTCTGTAGGAAATATAGAACACAGAATAAAAATAATATATAATTATATAGTGGTGTTCTAGTCTTGATTACCATTCATAATTTACAAGAAGAGTTTTTTTTGCTGTTCACCAATTTACACACACACATTCATATAGTGCATCTATGGGCATCACTTTTTTTCTATGAGGGGCAATTTGGGGTTCAGTATTTTTGCCCAAGGAAGGTATGCAGATGGGGAAGACTGGGATTGAACTGCTGACCTTCTGGTTAGAAGATGACCGCTTTACCCCCCTCAGCTACGGCCAAATGCTGATGATCACTTGATTTTGAGAGATTTTGCTGACCTGTACTCTGTGTCGGAGCTGGAAGTGAACTGCCATGCTCACTGGCTGGTCATCTCCCAGCGCTGTGGTGGATATGACAGAGGAGCCCAAGACAGTGCCCAAATACCTGGTTATGAACACAGATTGATACATCTTAATAATGACAACAAGGAGCAAGCTGCAAACCAAAATGATAGAATATGTAGGGTTTGATTGTCCACATGAAAGAAAAGTTATTTTGTGTCACTCATAAGTAAATTAGCAAGTTGTATTCTGTTTCTTACAGCAAATTACAGAATTATGTGTTGCATTTAGAGCCTGATTGATATATCAATCAATATTGGCCTATTGTAGATGCAGTATATCATATATATGAAATGAGATAACATACACCATGTTATCTCAATTCAGCCATTATCTATTCTGTGATAAACCCCAGTACAACAAAATGGGGGGACACCCTGGACAGGTTGCCTGTGCATCACGTGGCTAATATACAGAGACACACATCAATTTCTCCTGACATCAAATGTACTTCTGCACCGGATTCCATACAGCGTACTGTTGTTGCACCCATCCTTACCAGATGTATATTATTTATACATGTATATATTTCTTCCTTCCTTCCTCACTCTGTGTAAATCTCTTTTATTCTTTTTTAAAATCTTGTCAAGGGGAGTTGTATGAAGCCTTTCACTGCTCGTTTTACGGTTGGTGTATGTTACAAAGGAAAACAAAAATTTAATTAGAACATTTTGAATTTGAATTTACACCTACAGTCATATTAGAGGGCCAAATTAACCCAACCCCAGTCTACATGCCTTTGGACTGTGGGAGGAAGCCAGAGTATTCACACAGACACAGGGAGAACATGCAAACCTTCTTGCTGTGAGACAACAGAAGTAACCACTGTAAACTGCATAAAAAAATATCATATCATATTTAAAAAATCCTCTGGATGATTTAGACAAGGTGAAATCACATCATAAATAATCTCAAGAGGAATTGAAACAAATGTAGCCTCTAGCTAATGTAGCTATTAACATTTGCAGTCCCTAGGTGAACATAAATAGAAACATATAGCAAAACATGTGCTATTTACAGAATGTATATTTTCTTTCAATCACTTGGTAATTAGTATTTTCACACCATTTTGAACATGGATATTTTAGCTGAAGTGACTTGACATAAACGTTTGCAAAAAGGCAGCTTTGAATCCGACGATACTCGTTTTCCTATAGTTCTAAAGTCATACAAAATAAAATAACCTAACCCCCAAACTAACCCCAACTCTAAAACATATACATTCTGTTGAGTAGCATTTGAAACCACATTAAAACTTAGTTACTTACTATCAGGAGTAAAAAAAACATCCCATACTGTGACAGATGTAATGATGTTACGATAGAAAATGATATTTAAAAAAACGAATTTGTCTGTTACCTCTGGCTGCCATCTGTGACCGTAGGAACCATAGTGATGTTCTCCTCAGGACTGAAAAGAGGCGGCAGAGAACCATACCACGTATTGACCAACGTGAGCTTATTGAAGCCTAAACATTCAGAACAAAACAGAAAGATGAAGCTTTTCTTCAGCTTGCACCTGACAGCCAAACAAAACAGTACTAAAGGAAATGTTGTTAATTTAGGATCACTTTCAGATGAATAGTTTCAGAACCCAACAATGTGCCTCCATCTCAACTTCACTGTGAGACCTTGGGAGTGTAAGTAGGTGAATGCATGCTACACATTTACAACTCTGTTGTCAATACATTGTCCACTTCAAGACTTAATAGGTTAATATAAGGTGTCTTCTCACTCAGCGTTGTGATAGCTAGTCTGAATAAGTGACAGTTAAGTGCAAATGGAGGAAGATGATTGGGTCTTCCAGCATCTCCCTACCGTTGTTATGGAGATCCTCTATCTTCTGAAGTGGTACTGAAATACAGTCTAGGTTGGTATGCTTCTCTGTCTCAGGCCCACAGAAGATTGATCCTCTGTATCCTCCCTGCAGTGTCTGCTGCTGCACCTCCACTTCTACAAAAGGCAGGACAATAGAATCACTGTTCGATTTCTCTGCATAAAAAAACTGGAGACATTTTAGTTACATCATCTATGTCCAATCATCTTACGTCNTTCATATGATAATGTGAGTTATAGTTCTCAATCCTGTTTGGCTCCATCAGGTGTCTCTCGCCAAACATGGTTAATACCCACACCATAAACACAACCCTAATTGTTTTATTAATCAAAATTGATTTACCTGAGCTGGACCAGAATTACCATGGCAACCCTAGTACATTTATGTGTGCGACAAGTCAGTGCTTTATTTCATCTTAAAAATCTATTTGAGATTGTTCTTGCTAATTATGTAAACTGCAGGGGTAAGGAAAATTGGTTTTAAATGTTCACATACATACATATCACAATGCAAGTGGTGAATGTTGGATTTAATGAAACACTTTTTTGTAATTCTGCCAACCTTGTTGACATTAACAGTACTTTTCACTATTATTCTGTCCATTATAACATCAACACTATAATTGCCGGCTCAAGATGAACTCATTTAGCCTATTGATATATTTATTTGTGTGACAGGAATTGTGTCACAGCAGCTCCATGTGTAGAATGATGGTCCAGGTTTAATGTGCCTGTTTTGGAACCAAAGTGAAGTAGCTTGTAGCTCTAAGTATTCAGCTCTGAGTAACTATAGTTCCACTCCATCCTTGAGGAGGCCAGCAGGCTAACTGATTACATACATTCAGTTTTCTTAACCACAATAGAGAGCACATTTTCCCATTCAAATAAGAAAAAAAAACTTATACGGAAGAATAACCTTTTAAATTATAATTTTTTTAAATGTATATGGTCCAGACTGACTACTTCTGCAGTGGAGGGAAGGATCCATTCATGAGCGAAAGAGTGAGCAATGATATCGCACAGCCCATGAAATAAATGGGGATATACAGGCTTGTGAGTCATGCACTACAGTAATGGGTCTTGGGGTCTTGTGGCCATGCCAAATATGGGTAATATTAATATGCCATGACTATTGCACCGGTGTTTCTGAATGTTTATTCTTGATATGAGGGTATAGCTTAACATTGATAAGGGGTTACTATTTTACGCCAACTCATGAGTGCACAAAAGAACGTTAAAATAAATAAATTTTAGATAAATAAAAATGATGGATAAAGGAGGCTAAAAATATCAGACAAACACAATTTTAGTTACCTTGTTGCTGAAAACATCACTGAATTTGTCTTGGGTATCAAATATTCCACTGCTTCCTTTATGTACCTTTTATCTTGGTTGTAGGATACAGAGCACGGTAGCTAGCTGGATTTTGTGTTCACTCTCTGAGAGACAGGGTGCAATCCATAGATAGTGAAAGCAACACCAGAAACGGTTGAGAACAGTAAAGGCTAAGAACATGAGGGAGAGAGGAGCTGTGGCCGACAAAGCTTTTGTTTTGGTCCAAGATGCTGGTTATAATATGTCATCTAGTGGCAGGGAACATCATACATATAACCTTTAAGGTCTAATTCTGTTTTTTTAGAAAGCTGTTTGTTTAATTCATGACAATCTGCTTTAATCTGACATTGAGATAGTGTCCACTGATTAGGTAACAACCTTGATGATTAAGAATAGAAGGGGATGGAATAACACTGACATCCTTAAATGTATTTCAATCTAAGGTTGTCCATATTCCATAATTGTGTAAAACTTGCATTTAATTATCAGTAAATATTGTGTGTGAGCCCGTACACACCTGGTATTAACATGTGGTTTTTGTGATCCGATCACAAGTGGAGAGCTCTAAGTACAGGTGTGAATGCACTCAGATAGGATAGGATCACGCCAGACCACATTCCAATCTAGGCTACATGTGTCTACATTCTTTTAGCAGTGTGAATGTGGTCCTGGCCACATTTAAAGACCACTGACTCATTCAACTTCATCTGTGTACGTGGAAATATGTACACATGCAGGTGCCGGAAGCATCATTTAAACTTTTAAAAACACATAACAACAACAGAAGCGATTTGCTTTGCCTTAAAGGCAATGAGATCCAATCTGAGATCCGATCGTGAGTGTGAGAGAGAGTCACTCACTGATATTGGGGCGGTGAATGGTCAGATGATCAGTCTCTGCCATCAAGTGAGGGCTCAGGCTGGTCACCATCCGGTCAATACTCTTGACCACATCCATGGGGCCATTCACCACCTAAAATTCACGGAGCACAGATGTCTCAGCAGCAGCAACACTGACCCACTATGCCCCACTTGGCATGGTCGTCAAAGCTAAAGAGGTACATTTCAAAATGACCATTCATATGCCACACAATAAGAACACGCTTTTAGTGCCGTAAAATGTTTACCAGAGTGTACGCACAGTTTGGCTGAAGTGGGAGATAGGCCTATAATGCATGGTGCAATCATAGATTTTGCCATTGTCTGTTTTGAAACCCCGCATTCTGAATTCAGTGTGCCCATTTAAGAGCTGAGCCTTGGAGACAGAGCTGGGAGCACAGCGAGGGAGGTTTGTGGATGAGTACAGCCACAGTTTTTCAGAGTGCTGCTCATTCATTGAGTCTGGGCTGAGGTGGCCTTGGGAGTGTTGAGAGGCCTGGGGGTGGGGGGGTGGGGGGTTGGGGTGGGAGATTTCTGAGAGATTCACAGCACTCACAAGGCAGACTCTATACGGATCCATACTCTGCACACATCAATAGTGCAGAGGTAGAAGTGACAAAAAAGGTAAAAATAAAAAAAGGTAATAGAGTTTTGGGAAAGCACAATGTCCAAACTATGAAGTGAATCAGATAATTATTTACTTTTTGAATATTTCCTTTCTGAGTAATTGTTTTGTTCAGAAATTCTGAATATGACAATTGGATGATTGCACTATGTCTTAATCAAGACAAACAGAGGCAGGCATAGTGTTTGTCAATAAATCTTATGCTAACTTCATTATTCTGATGCTGATTATGAGCTCGCATAATATTGTATCTACAGAGGCATACTGCCCTCTAGTGTTCACAAGCTGAAATGCCAGTCTGTCTGTCCTTGGATCCATCAATCCAAATTTCATGAATTCTTTTCTCACTCAAACACGTCACAACCAAAACTCTGTGTATAACACTGGAATTTGCAAAAAATAAGCAAACAAGGTACAAGTGACCTCTAAAGAACTCAGACAGGCATGCAATGTCTTAATGTCAGAAATATGCAAAGTTATAAATGGCTGTTGTGAGAATAGGTTGGTTGGCCATATTTTCAGGTGGACCATCAACTTCAATATCAAAAACAAGAGGATGTGGAGACTCATCATTTTAATATGGCAGCTGATAACCAGTACCTTAATAATACTACTTTATATAGACTTAAATTTGAGCTTCTAAAAGCTCTAATACTCCTTCTCAAACTAAACATGAAATAGAAAAGACTTTATTGCAATGACTGCATAGAAGCTGAAAACACACATAATATGTGAAAAACATATTATCATGATATTCCTTATGTGTCCTTGAGAAATGGCCTAAATGATTTATTTTCTTCATCTATGATATGCTGAATACTAGATATAAATATCAGAAGAATTAGGGTTAGGTAGGGTTAGCCTAACCTATTGCATAGACCTCATGTATCCACCCTCTAAAACTACTACCCAGAGAGGAGCTATACTGGTGATGCAGCCAAAGAAATAGTGAGATCGTGCTTCCCCTATGCCATTATTGCTACCTCTCTAATGGACTGCCACTTGAGGGCGTTTTCTTCATTAATGATGCTGTCTGCCACGCTGATGAAATGCTGGCTGAACTCCTGGCTGTTGCTGGTGGCAGCAGCAGACGGCTGTGAGGGGATGTCAGCAGCCAAAGAGAGTAGCTGAATGAGGGACACCATGTCTGTTGGCTGCAGTCCCTCCTGCTGAGTGTCCTTCAAGGCCTGGACAGAGATGTCCAGTAGGTCGGATGCTTGGGCCATGCTGGTCAGCTCTGATGGTTGCTGCTCCAGCATTGGCTGGAAACAGAGACAGACAGTCAGTTCAATAAAACAATCAAGCTTACAATATGTAAATATTTGAGTGGACGCCATAGTGGGGGGTTGTCTACCTGGGTTTTGTTGGAAATCTTCATCAGATGGTTCATAAAGGCAGAATGCTGAGAATTCTGAGACTCACTCATCTGCTTCATTTTCAGGTAACGCTCTGTGCCAAAAACAACAACAACAGGATCAGTGGATGATGTAATGGCAGAATGCTTCGCTGCTCTGAGAAGTCATTATCAACCCGCAGACCACTGAAGCACCCTTCAGTTAAACAGTGAACTACCAACAGAAACTGACCCCAGACCTCACCCACACTCAAAGCTCAAATATAATAATTAATTTACTGCAGGCAGACATATTCAGTTTTACTTGATCGTGTTAATCTCTCTAATATCCAGCACAGGAACATATCAAATGAAAAAAAGGTTTAATTGTATAGCCCATATTCACAAATAACAGTTTACTGCTTCGGTCCTTAACCCCCCCCCCAAAAAAACTTTAACAGGGAAAATAAAAATATTAAAAAATGCAGAAACCTCAGAGAGGTCAAGAAAAGGTGTAAAAGGGTGTGTGTAACAGAGCACATCAACAGAATAACAATATTCTTTTCCCCTGTTTTTTTTTGTGATAGTTTTTCCTTACTCTCGTTGAGAGTTAAGGGCAGAGGATGTCACACCTTCTTTAAGCCCTATGAGACAAATTGTGATCTGTGAATATGGGCTATACAAACAAAATCTGAGTGATTGATTCAATATTTCCAACTATAATGAGAAAAGATAGTGTCTAACATAAAAACTCAGGTCAGGTCCCCAGTTGTGTAACCATCACATTCAGGCTCTGTCAGACTGGTTGTTATAATGACAATAATAATCTTCAGTTGTACCTTGGCGTCATCTGGTGTTTTGGCCTTTTAATCACAATAAAGGTCAAAGCCAAAGCTGAGGGTACGCTGAGGTTAAAGGTAAATCTGACTGGCCACTGGCTTCTATGGCAGAACTATGAAAGCCATGTGACTCGCTCAGCGGATTAGATGCCATTACCTCTATGCCTTTTTAAACTAAACCAAATACCTACTCTCATAGGCAGCAGAGTCAAAAGCTGTCGTATTTAAGAAAGTACATAAAATATAATTGCAAAAAAAGTAAGTAAGTAAAAAGGAATAAAGCAGTTAAAACAACACAGTAGCACCAGAGTTACACATCACATGCTAAAAATGCTTTCCTATAAAAATATGTTTCGAGCAGTGATTTACAGACTGGTATTGAGTTGGCAAGCCTTATCTCTTCAGGCAGGGAGGTTCAGAGCTTCGGGGCCCTGACAGAGAAAGCCCGGTCACCCTGAGTAGCCAGTCTTGACGTATAAACAGCTAACAAGGACAGGCTGGCCGATCTCAGACTGTGACTAGGATTGTAGGGAGTCAAGAGTTATTAAAATGTAAGTAGGCCATGTCGAGCTTTGAAAGTTATTGAAAGAACTTTAAAATCAATCCTTAGTTTAACTGGCAACCAGGATTGGGACGATAGGAGATCTAAAGTTTGTTTTAGTTAAAACATGAGTAGCAGCATTTTGAACAAGCTGCAAACCAGTGACTGAGGTTTGACTAAGGCATGTATAAACTGCATTCAATAGTCCAGACAAGAAAAGACAAAAACATGTATGAGCTTTTCTAGGTCAGGGAGAGATAAAACTGATTTAATTTTGGATATATTATATTTTGATATCACTTCATGCAGGCTACACCATGGTGAATTACTGTAATCAATATCAATTTGTGGGCATATTATATGGCAAACGCAGTGAGAGGCTCACCTCTGCTGCTCCTGCAGATGAATGGCAGTCGTTCTGAACAGTCTGTCAAACCAAACAGTGGGGGCTGATCTGACAAGCGCTGCAGCGTCCTGCAGCCCTGCAGCTCCATCTGCTGGTCTACGGCTTCTCACACATTCATAAGATCAGACATGCATACACAAAGTGACACACAATAAGAAAAGAGTGAGCTTGAGCAAACGTACAGGTCTTTACTGGTATCAAATCAAAACTAATGGAGGAGGTCAATTGGAGTCAAACGACTGACGACCTTGACAGTCAACAGCAAATTGAGGAATAATGAATATATAGGTACAAAAAAAAATGCTAAAAGATACACAAGAGGAAGACAGAGTAGCCTATGAGAGAATAGGTTTTCATTTTGAAAGTGTGGTGAGTGAGGGCACAGTCAAACAGTCCAATGTCGTTAGACTTTTTAGTTATTGTTTTCCCATCCATTTAGAATTTGGCAAAAATTCACACGCACTCATCTGGATTGGCTTTCTATAAATGTATACATCTTCTAGTTAGAGTTCATGATATTTTAGATGAGCATTATTCAAAGCCACATTGAGCGTGAATTTATGAAAGCAATTTAATTATGTCACCTCCACAAATTTGAGATTATAGATTAATTTCTGAAATTCCCATCTTTTTCAAATGCCAAACCAGTTAAGTGGTGGTTAAAGCTTTAATCCCAAACCAAGAAGATACTGATGACATCATAATCAGTGTAGACAACCTTTGGCTGACTGTTCTGTTGAGTCTGTTCAGATGCACTGCTGTTATTTCAAAGGATGGGTTAGGGTTAGGGTTCAAATAGGGACAAACATGGGCTGTCAGATGATCAGACCAGTAAAAGACCAACAGTTTGTCCAGATCATCTCAATCGCTTTATTTGGGGGTCAAACTGTTATCCCTCAATTTATAGGAATACTAAGATGGATAAATTTCATCAAACTCAACAGACAGTTTGATGAATAGATCATTATAGATCACTACTTTCAAATATATTACATTGTTGTTATCAGAAAAATGCTGGTGTTCCTTTTCACTTCATTGCAGCATTGTTGCTAAGTTTCCAAATGTCATTCCTGTGACCAAGACGTTATTATAAACTGAAGCAATGGTGCTCAAAAACTGTGACCTTCAGAGGACTAAAGACTATCAGAGTAACCCTGGACTTCCTTCCCACCAGAGATGGACTGAGAGTATTCACCTCTTCAGAATGTTCTGTCTCTAACATTACATAAACACAAAGTTTGTCCTCAAAAAGAAGACAAGGAAGGACTTCATTAGATGCAATTGATGGAGTCTTATAAATTGAAATTGAAATGCTGACTAGAGGAAGTCAGTTGCTAAACTGTGGCTCTGTATACACAGAAGCATAGTGATCTTACCTGGGCAAAACAGAAGAGCCTGCACCTCTTTGACCACTGGGTGGCTGGTAAGGTAGTCTGGATTCCAACTAAAAAGCACTTCCTGGGTCATGGGTGAACACGCATTGAGTGCACTGGCATGTCTTGTTTCCAGAGACATATTCCAAACATTCAGGTCAGTGATAGCTCCAAAAAAGGGCTCTGTAAAATTCCCTCCAAAGGAGTCTTGGTCCTGACCCAGAATGAGTATCCCTTCTCCATGGATATCCCTGGAAGTGTCTGTTCCTGAACCCATGTCCTTCCTGATACCGTCCACATAGATAGCCCAGTGGCCAATGCTGCGGCGCCATGTTACACAGATGTGATGCCACGCACCGTCATTTGGGAAGGATGCCTTATAAGGCAGGTGCTTCCCATGGATGATGAGCGCCAGCAGGATGCGTTCCTGCATGTCTGCTTGGCCTCGTAGCTGGAACTCATTGGTAAAGACAGGTGCAGCATAGGAGAAGATGGTGGACACCTCATTCCACTCTGGGTCCCACTGAACTCGAACACACACACTGACAGATGACAGGGCAGGGAAGGACATGTTCACACGAGCAAAGCCCTCACGGGATTCCTTTGTGAAGTTTAGAGCTGAGAACTGTACATCTAAATTAGAGCAACAGAACAAGTTAGTGTTTCAATTGTACATTTTACTTTTCAATTCCTTTACTTTCTTTGTAAGGTCCATGCACTGATCTACTCACACTGCTTGGCGAGGGCCACAGGCTTGGAGGCTACTTTGCTGGGGTCCCTGACCCAAATAGGTAACTTATGTCCAGTCTGTTGAAGAAGCTCTAAGGCCCCTCCCTGGTCCTCTGTCTGGTCCAGGGTAGCGAGGGAGCTGAACTGGCCTCTGCAAAAACTCTCTGCTCTGGAAAAGTCAAGTGAGTCATTGAGCAGCCGGAAGGCTGAATGAGACGTCAGATGGACCAGTTCGGACTGTCCTGGTGAATAAGACGCAAACAACAGTCACAACAAAGCAACACACAACAAATCAGTACATATGAAATGGGAGGCCAGTATGATGAACTGACACTACTGGCTGACACAACAGTCACAGTTTCTCACCATGTGAACCCCCCAATCTGTCTGGCTCAGCATGTGTTGGCTCACTCTCACATACAACCTACAGAAGAAAAAGTCAAGTTACTTTATCATTTTAACCAATGCTGCGGAGCCCAGCAAGTTGGAGATTATGCCATTTGAAAATAGATATGGAATGTTGGTTGTTCGGAAAAGGCATGTCATTAAGCATAGAATGAACAGGTTGTTACCATAAAGGAGAAGAGAATGAGTCCAGTATGCAGAGCTCCAGTCATCTCTACACCAGTGTAGTCTCCAGCTGAAATAAATCAGTTTACAGAAAAAAATAATACTTCTGGATCCAGAGAAACTTCTCTTCGGAAAAAAGTAAAAACTAAACCCTTTCAATTATGGGTATTTAAGCCAATAATATCTTAAGGGTAGCTTTGAGCATACAAAGCAAGACATTTTTAGTATGTCACTCTTCAACAGGTTTTCAGAGTATGTCCTGATTCATTGTTGCTTTCAAGTCAGTTGTAGATTTTTCTCCCAAGGCAGCAGAAGGTCTCTTTGTAATCTAGGAAGGAACTCCATATGTGTTGCATAATCAGATACAAATCCAGACTCCTCATCTGGGACGTCAACGACAGCTTCCAGCATATCCAGCAGACTTTTTGGTCTCCAGAGTGGGAGACAGCCAGCGATCCCAGTGCATCTGTCCAACAGTCCCAGTCTGCCTGCTTTCAGAAACCCCCCCTTCAGACCCCGCCTTCCTCAGCACCCTGAAGCCATTTGCTTTTCTCATGCAAATTGAGTCATTTTTTAAAAGGACCCTACTTACGCAAGCAGTGTCAAGCATTTGGCACAATGTTCATCTAGATTAGCAGGGTCGTGGACGTTTTTACCACATAGCACTTATTTATGTCTTCGGACTCTCTAAAGTTAATTAGAACTTCTGTTTTCTTGCTGTACTTCATAGTCAATAAAAAGTTAGTACTACAGATGTAACCAGTGTACAGTAAACTATAGAGTCATTACAGTCTGCCTGTTTGGGTGGCTTTCATTTATGTGCAGCATTGGTTGAAAAAGCTTATGCCTTTTAAGAGTAATTGATGATGAATGTGAAATGAGTCCAGGCTGTGCCTTAGCGTGTGTTTGTTCAGACATCGTCATGTTGTTCATTCATACTTGTACATAGTCTCCTGAGGTCCAGGGAAACGACTCCTGTGTCAGAGGCCTGTCCATATCTGGTTCTAGGCTTCATTATTTTTTAAATTGCCAATTTATTATCATGTAATGCTTCTTGTGTAAAGTTGGCAATACATAACTTGAGATGAAAAAGCACAAAACCTTAGCTTTGGGCCAGTGTGTAACTCAGTTTAGGGTTGTTGTCACACCTGAAAGTCAAAATCAAAATTCATGTCTTTGTTACATTGTTTACATTTGATCCTGTTAGTTTTGGTTTTGTATTGCAATTAAGGAAGCGGACAAAAGACTTTTGTTTGACATACGTACTCCCTTGACCTTCATGGGCTGCATCTGCCTACACTTGACATTGATTGTTACTTAGACAGGCAAGCATCTGACATTGGTTTGTTGTTTAAAGAAAAGAGAAGTTTTCCGCTTGAATGGAGAAAACAAATGATTGGTTAACTGTTGATTTTGTTGCCACTGTAATATTATTGTGGTAGTACTACCAGCAAAATGAATGTCCTCATTGTTCTAGTGGTCTGCTCAGAGCCATGGATTTGATAAAGGTTGTTGACAGTTTCACACACAAACTGCAAAAGTAAAACGGCAGTTTTGGGGTAAAAGAGCACAGTGTTGTTAATTAATTTAAGGCTTTTAAATGAGCATTTCGGTTGGATATAATTTTTGTTTCAGTCTGTGACAGCTATGGAGGGGCAGCCTAATGGCTTTGGATGAAAATGAATGTATATGTTGTGCTTGTAAAATTATTGCAGGTTACAGCAGTCCTTCCTTGTTTGAATATTATGGATTATACCAGTACAGTTGAGATACACTAGCAGTTCTGACTTCCTTTCTGTGATGTTGCTGTGGCTAACTCAAGCAATACATTTCACAGTCAGAATAATCCTTTAACATCATCAGTCTGTGGTGTGGCTTTACACACTGCCTAGACAAACTCACACCAGGAGACTGGAGGGTAAGACTGCTGGAGTAAAGCTGTAACATCCTCAGAATTCAGGGCTCCAGACAAAGCCTGATTAAGACAAAGTCTTTCGTTAGTATTCCATATAGATATCCAGCATAGACTTTAGTTTCCACTCACAGTGTGAACAACTGGACAAGGGCCTGCAGTTACAAAGGCTGCTCCAGGCTGAGACTCCTGGACATTGCTCACATTCCCTCCACTCTTGTCACCCATTCATCTGAACTGAACAACTCTCTCATAGGGCTTTTGCAAATTAAAATCAGGGATCCATGCTATTAAAGATTGTCAGGTAAAGAACAATCTAATGTACAATGGAGCTGAATGAAATGTTGTTTGATTAAATTATTTCACATCACATATATTTTCAAAAATGACGTCACGTCTTTTATTTTACAGAAAGAGAATCTCGGGATTATCCACA